AGTTCAACTTCAACCCAAAGCGGTCTCATGAGGCTGTTACGCTCAACTGGGCAGGAAATGGGATGGTTCTTACCCGACGTGAGAACAAGGTGCATCTTCCACGAAACCTTTCAAAGCTCTCAAATGCGGGTGGTGGGCCGGGAGGGTGTGGAGCCCTGCCGCGGCCCGGGCCGTTTCTCGTCTGATGATTTCGGGTGGGGCGATGCCGGTCAAACGCTAAACCCCGCCAGTAAACGCCTGCAGCTTTGTAAACAGGTCAACCCGAATACTCATTGCGAGGTAGTCGAGCCGCTCAATGTTACGACGCTTAGCCTAGTTGTGAGAACTTCTGTGTAAGAAGGAGGAAGAAGGAGTGCATGTCTGTTTGCACGAAATACAGCAAGAATCGGGAAGTGGGTCCAGAAGGTTGAAAGCGGAGATCGCACAAGTGACAACGCAGCGGCCCGCATTGTTAAGCTCCCCAACTTGTAGCGTAGCACTCAGCACCCTCCCCCCGACCTGGCTGCCGCCTTACCAAGACTTGTCTAAAATTAGACGTTCGTTGCGTGAGGTTGGGCTCTGCAGCTCTAGGCAGCGGAGCCAAAGGTAACGGGCCCGTCTATTGGATAAAAACTGTGGGCCTCACAATGACTATCACGCTCAACGATTGGTCGGCACTAGTGGATCCCATTCCTGCACGCTCGTAGCCATCCATTCCTCGCACGGTACGTCACTCCATCTCGAGACTCTTCCCCGGACACATAACTAGGGCCTCGCTCTCCTCCCAATTCTCATCGCCATGGCCCACACTCGAGCTCAAACAGCGACCCAAAGGGCGCTCCCATCACCGACATCAAATTATCAAGGTACTTGTTCTTCGCAGCGCCAAACGACATCTCCCACTGACGCTTGCAGGAAATCGACCCCAGGGCAATCGCCTACGTCCAACTACACCCAGCGAGACGCCGACCCCACAAGTATGCCCTCTATGCTTTGTATTATATGGTTCACAAACTAACTTGGGTCATGGGATTCATAGGAACAACCGGCGCCTGTCCAGAGCAGAGGTCGCAAGCGCAAGCACCCAACCGGACGCGCACTCGAGGGAGACCCAGACCCAGACGCAAAGCGACAGCGGACATCTCCTCCACATCCTACAGAAGACGCATTTGGGCAGCCAGCGGTTGTCAGCGGCGCCCATAAACACACTGACTCAGTTGCTTTCTGGGCGAAGGAAGGGCGCTGGCCAGAGGAGCAGGACTGGCCGGAAGACACCTCAGAGACGCATTTTACCATGGATCGTCTACCACTTGCGCGAAAGAAATCCTCGTCCAATCTGTCCCGGAAGCGATCGAACTCTGCTACATCCACGACGCCCAGTGACCAGAAGCCGAGGGAGGAGAAGAGCGCACCATACCGAGACCAGCGTTATGAGACCCTGCTCGAGGTCAAAGGCAGCTACATGACCAAAGCTCCACTAGGCTTAGCCAGCGCCAGCCAGGCTCTTTGTCGGTCTCTCCTGGAGAAGACGCAGCCAGTTCCTGGCGATACACTTTTCGGCGACGATGTCTTTGAAACGACATGTGAGAAGATACATAAAAAAAATGAGGCGCGAATCATACAAGACATCAGTCGGCTCATTGTTCCTTCAGCTGAAAGTCTTGCGACGTTCGGTGCAAAACACCTTGACATCCTGACAGAGAGCGTCAACGAAGGGTGGAACAACTCGATCCCTCTCACCAGCACCCGTCCACAGCCTGACTACTCCGTTGGGTTCAGACGAGACGCATTCACTGAGGACCAGCTCGCCAAGTTGTCGCCATTCATTGGCGACTTCATCACCGGGGACCAGTCTTTCTTCATGGCCACGTACTATATGTACTTCCCGTTCCTGACTTGCGAGGTGAAGTGTGGCGCAGCGGCGCTCGACATCGCAGATCGGCAGAACGCCCATAGCATGACCCTTGCGGTACGGGGCATCGTCGAGCTCTTCCGTGCTGTCAAGCGCGAGGATGAGGTCAACCGGAAGATCCTCGCCTTCTCCGTCTCGCACGACCACCAGTCAGTACGGATTTATGGCCACTACCCAGTGATAACAGGGAAAGACACCAAGTATTACCGGCACCCGATCCGAAATTTTGCCTTTACTGAGTTAGACGGCAAGGAGAAGTGGACAGCGTACCGATTCACCAAGAACGTCTACGACATATGGATGCCCAAGCATTTCGAGAACATCTGTTCTGCCATCAATCAGTTGCCGTCGGAGTTGAACTTTGATGTCCCACCGCTTTCCGAGGCGACCGGGCTTTCCCAGGATTTGGGGAACTTGATGCAGTCAGATGCCAGCTGCGCTTCTCTGCCTGACGAGCGGGGCAGCCAGTCGAGCAATGCCGGGCAGCAGGCGGTCACTCCAGGTACCTCATTCAGTGAGCCGAAGAGGAGGAAAGGATAAGGCCCGGAAGGGCCGTAATATATTGGCGGGTAGGTAGCATAGGGTTCAATTGACCGTCATCCTCACCTTGGCTACTTTGCTTCTTGTCTTCCATCATTCATAAACCAAGTCGCTGTCCTGGCCAGGTGCTTTGAGTGATCACCCTAAATGTTTGGGTAGCTTCGTTATGGCGGTCCCCCAGTAGACACTTTTACGGTATTTTTACATGTAACCGAATAGAGGCCTTCAGATTGCACTATACAGCAAGAAGAATTAAGATGAGCTTAGCTACTCCATTCCGACACAGTAGCCAAGGACGACAGCGTGTCAGGATGCTCAGGCCCAAGGACTCGCTGCTGAGCCTCAACACAGTCTTGCATCAACGCTAGGGCATCTTTATGTCGACCTTGACTATTTAACCTATCAAAACCACTACGCTTGTGTTGTAGCCGTACGTCATAGTCGAAGTGGTATCTTAGAGCTGTGGTGCATTGAATTGCAAGGCACTCGCCACTGATTGGTTCCAATGATTCTTCGGCCTTGCTGGGCTCTGCAGCTGCCTAAGTCCGGAGGTTCCTCCACTTCCCCCGCAACCTGTCAGATTTCAAAGGTGGAGTCTGGCTTTCCTCTGTCGAGGTCAGTGGTCCAACCACTTCACCTCATTTTGACCTGATTTCCTTGGCATTACTGGTGAGTGGTTTCGTCAATGCGGTGTGCAGAACCGTAACAGATTTGGTAAGAATCGCACCCATTCCTGTTAGTGATTTAAACATCCCATTCACGGACCTGAGCTAGCTAACTGGGGCCCAGTAGTCCCCAGCACCCCTTCCGTGGAGTTACACACACACATTCCATCAATCAACTTTGTACTGTTATATTTGACAAAACCAAAGGCCTCCTCTTAGCGCGCCCAGTTTCGTCGATGCGTTCCCTTTTTGTAGTGTAGATATCGCCAAGGTACGTTTCTTGAATCTGGGAGTGAGAAGTGCGGGCGAATGGTAAAAGGCGGGAGATTGTGAGGTTTTCTCGGGGAAGTGCGAGACAAACATTGCTTAATAAAGGGAGGGTGTTTCCCATCATTTTGACACATTCCGTCATCCACCCTCGAGCTTCCAGGTTGTAACCGGGCCACCGCCCCACGTGACGCCCTGCCTTCGCCATGGATCTCAGACGCCGCTCATCCCCTTTCTCTTCAGCACAAGTTCCGCCCGACCACAGTCCTCATCATCCCGACTCCCAGAACCACAACTCCAGTACCGACACAGAGGATAATGGAAGACTTTCGCTATCCCCATGCGACAATGAGCCACCGTCGCCGTTATTGCGAAAAGCTTCCCCGTCTGAGCCGGGCAGGGCTGATTCCCAGAACCACAGCTCCAGTGCCGCTGCGAACCAAGATACCTCTATGACTTCAACACAGCCGTTCTCGTCCAACAGGCACGTTTTTTTTTTCAATCCATTCAAGTATGATGTGCATGAAGCTAACACAAACATCCCGTTTATAGCCAACTCCTCAGCGACACTCCCCTCAACGGCGTTCAGTCGTCACCTTTCGATGTGTACGGGGACCTAGAGGATAATGTAAGATCACCGTTTGAGCCGGGTAGGCCCGACTCCCGGAACCACAGCTCCGGTGCCGATACGAACCAAAAGGTGAATTCAACACAGTGGTTCTCGTCCAGCAGGCACGTTTTTTCAACTTCCATTCCATTCAAGTATGATATGTGCATAAAACTAACAAGAATATCCCGTTTCTAGCCAACTCTGCGACACTCTGATCGACGACACTGAATCGTTAGATTTCCTCGTGTACGGCGACAAACAGGATGATGGAAGACGTTCGCTACCCCGATACAATATCGAGCCACTGCCGCCATTCCCATCCGAGTCAAACAATATATCCCCTGGCCAGCTCCGTACCGAACGTCAAAGTGAAGTTGGCTCGCCATTGGCATCCAACAAATCGAATGAGTCCTCCCTCTTTTACCCTATCAATCCTTCCTCGTCCCCTTCCCGCGTCTCCTGTCTCATCACGCCCGTTTTTTCTTCCTATACACATTGCTGGCATTTCGTCACCCACAAGTCAAGAACCGTAAAAGTTGCCAAATCCTACTTAACAGGTATGCCTGTTAAAAGGACTGGGGTTCTTGGGAGGGCGGGCAGGTGCGTTGCTCTATGCAGCGCTCTTTGTCCGCTGATTGTGGCAAAGCGCCAAAGATCAGGGGTATTT